TCAGGAGCGGTTTGGGAGCCTCTGTCCCGCGTTACAGGATGGGAGGGAGCGGCCTCAAGTTGGATAAAGGGAGAATTTCTGCATGCAGGATCGTCCGGCAGTGCTGGAGTCGCTGTCCCTGGGAATGGTTAAAAATACCTGGATTTTTGGGGCATTTGGGCACGGGTTTAGTGGGTTGGAATTGATGATTTTGGAAGCTGCTCCTCAGCAATCCCAGGAAAGGAAGAACAGGGATACATTGTCCCCGTGGGTAGCAGCAGAGTTACTGACAAAATCCGGCCTGCTTTCCTCCGTCCATTTTTTAAATTTCGCCCTTTTTTGCGTTTGTCACAATGTGGAAATAACTGCGGGAATGGGCAAATCCCTGGCTCTGCAGCCAGCCTGATCCCAAACCAATGGTGTCAGTTTAGTCTGGGTTGGGTCTGTCAGGCTGCTCAAATATTGATGTTTTATTAGAGCCATCTCAGGCTGAGGACAGGCTGTGTCTGTGGTTTAAACTCTGTATTTGAACCTTTATCTGCATTTAAAATTCTGTATTTTAAGCTCTACCTGCATTTCAAGTTCTGCATTTAAACTCTATTTGCATTTTAAGCTCTATGTTTTAAGCTCTGTCTGTATTTTAAGCTCTATCTGCATTTTAATTTCTGTATTTTAAGCTCTATCTACATTTTAAGCTCTGAATTTTAAGCTTTATCTACATTTTAACCCCTTTTTTCCCCCCAGTTTTTCACAGGCTGGTGGATCATCATCGATGCTGCTGTGAAATACCCTCAGATGGAAGATTTCAACCATTCCTACCACGCCTGTGGGGTGATAGCCACCATTGCATTCCTCATGTGGGTGTGGAAAAGTTAAATTTTAATTTCTTAAATTTAACATTCATTTAAATTTATTAAAATTTTAAAAGCTTAATAGTCATGAAATAGTAAATTTATAAATTATTTAATAGTATATTTAAGTAGTATATTTCATAAATTTTTAAAAGTATATAATATATAAATTATTTAGTATATATTAGTAGTATTAGTATTATTTATTATTATTTATTAGTAGTAATATTATTTAGTATAGAGTATTAATATTAGTATTATTTAGTATTAGTATTATTTAGTATATAGTATGTAAATTATTTATAAATTATATTTATAAATTATTTTCTCCGATGACACTGGGCAAACCAACAGTCCCATCAAATTTCTCCTTCTCTATAAAAGAATGCAAACCAATAAGTTATTTACAGAAAGTGTGTGAGAAAGCTCGTTACAACAACGTAAACATCAGAAAGCTTGGAAAATCTTAAAAAATCAGGTGACAGCCATATGATGTGCACTTCTCTCACAGGGTCCCACCCCAGCAGGGCACTGAGAGTGAAAAGGAGATTTTTAATGCCATTTTTAATGCCATTTTAATGCCATTTTTAATGCCATTTTTGTCCCCTTTTCCGCAGGATCAACGCCGTGTCCAACGGGCAGGTGCGGGGCGACAGCTACAGCGAGGGCTGCCTGGGCCAGACAGGTACCAGGGATGGGGTCCCTTTAATTTTAGATTTTCTAA